AGTCGACTCTAATCGTAGTCCCTGTGGGGAGCTAACGGAATCAAACACACCACAATCCTAAGAGAAGCTAGGCATGCCCGTCGGCTTTTCTGGCTGCAAGGATAATTGATTGCGAACAATGAACATTTACCCATACCTATTATAGGTGTATTAGTTTCTAATGGATAAAGCAGATAATAAATTGAAAGCCATTATCTGTTATTACTAGTATGTTTGAAGTTTTGCAGGGTTTTAAAATCCGAAATGATGATATTAGCAGAAGAACTAAAAGGACTGAGCTATAAGCTAGGAAAATAAGCAAGCTAAAGATAAAGCGGTGATCTCAAGAGTTTTACATAGATTCTATGGTTGCGAGTGTATCCTAACTGTGGCAGTCTATGGGTAAAGTACATGGATAAAATTTAGTTTAATGCTTATTACTGTCTTCACAATGGCCAAAACTTTTGTAATACATAGTAAAGAATTGGAGCTTAGTTATCTTTTTTAAAAAATTACATCTCTAAAAGATACCGAGTCAAGTTGGAATTTTGGATGAAGATGAATAAAAAATTGTTAAAAGTCTTCTTGCTGAGAAAAGTCTGTAATCCAGTTTATTAGAAAAAGCGACTCGAGTAGAATTCAAATAACTTTAATAAGCTTGCGTAGTTTTTTTTTTCTTTTTTTACAGAATATAAACAGAAATATAACAAGTTGAATATTCCTTTTGATGTAGTAGGTTTAATGCTTGTTAACATGTAACTAATGGGAACACGTCTTTCTTTAACCTTAGCATATTTTAGGCTTAGTTAAGGTTTAATTTTGGATTTTCCTTCTAAAACCTCGAAAACAAAATGTTGACTTGTCGTTATTTAGAAATATTACATGTCAATAACATCGAGGTGCTGGCGTACTTGAGCGACATTCCGAAAGTAGAGCTGGCAAGAAACAAGTGTCTTATATAATTGAATTTCTCTTGTTCTTACAAGAGAAATTCAAGGGAAAATTAAAGACCGACCTAGTTCACATAGTCCCCGTGTTTTGATCTCCAATATGTATTTAATAATTCACTTAAAATACCCAACACTTATGTTGATTTGCCGTTGTTTCACAAGATGATGTGCGGAAATCGCGGCTTATTTAATTGTACATAACTAACGGGAAAAAATATTAGGACTCTTGATACGGCACGACGAACTTATAATTATAATAATAGAATGTAAGAAGAAGGAAGGAGGGGAAAAAGGATACCAAGTCATAGTTATATCAGGCAAATCAAGGAAAAAGTTGGTTATGTGTCGTTTCAAGATGTGAAGAGACTCGCAGAAAATCATAGTGGGTGGCAAAAGCTCCATCGACAAGAGCGTAGCTCTTAAATAGGATAGATAGAATTAGCAAAGATTTATTATGAAATCTTAGAAGGACTTGATCTGCTCGACGCAGAGACGACGGACTCGTCGTTTTGTTTATCTAACCTCAAATTTGATTGGAAATATGGACAGGCAAAGAAGAATAGAATGAACTGGCTACATAGCTCGAAGAACAAACAACCGATGGTTAAGAAAAGTTCTTAAGTGACGATCTCGTACAGGCAAACTCAGTATAAGATGGCCCTCTCTTTAGATGGAGTGACGAAATCAAATGCATGACATGGAGTCAGTGGATACAGGTGGCTTGGGACCGTTCTTTATAGCTGTCTGTGAGAGAGTCCTATGTTCAGCAGAAGTTAGAGAACGGCTAATATGATGGCCATGAAGAAGGATAGAAAAATATTGCGGCATTACGTTCAGAAATGATAAATTTATATTAACCAATTGCCTAAACTTTTTTAATTTGATACCAAAATCAAAACCAAAGAGATTCTTTGTAAAACGCGATATTTTCGCCAATTATCTCTTGATATATCTTTTTTTTTATCTAAATCGTTTATCCTAATATTCATTTTAATCCTCAAAACATTTGCCAATGCTAGCAGAGTTAGAAAAATACACAAAAAATAATAAAATTTTAGCCAGTGTTGACATCAAATGCCGGAAATACAATATAACCTTTGTAATTGGTTTCAAATATGCATTTTTTTTCAGTTTGAAACTTCATATGCCCGAGTTTACATTTAGCACATTCAATTATGCAAAGCTACCATTTGTTAACAGATTTTAGGGTAATTCGCCGAATGTCGACTCCGTTTTATGCTAATCAGCTTAGTGACCATTATTTATTGAGGTACATGTTTGCAAACATTCCTGTGTAATGTAGCATTCTGATAATGCTGTATCGAGCAATTAATATCAAAAACACTCACTGCCATATGATAAAGTGCCACATTAATATCTATTTTGCTGAATTGTATTTTGTTTAACGACAATTTTGTGTTAATTTGATGCAAATAGCTTTATCTAAAGTTCTTCTATACTATTAACGTAGTTTTCCAGTTTCATTTACGGAAGCAAATCGCTTTATTACCTACTATATCATATTACGTGACTATCTAACATCCGAATGACAAGCGTGGTTCGTCTTCGGAACTTCTCGCATTATCATATGTGTGGAGATTGTTTTTATTTAATTAGACAGTTTTTCATATAATTACCACAATAAAATGCATACTATATATTTTAGTTACTTTCATAGTATACTGTCCTATGGAATATTATTATGGGATAAAAGCAGCCGACATCCAAAAAAATATTTGTATTACAGAAATGTTCTGTTCGCGCAATATATTCTATGGGATGTACTGAATCATTAAGCGAGAAATTTAAAGAAGCAAATATTCTCACCATAGTTTCACAATACATACTAATTATATAATAATTTTTAAACTTTTCTTAAAAACAGTGATCTTAATAAGCTTAATACTAGATACAAATTCAAACTTGCTGTTTCAAAGTATCGTTTAGAAAAAGTTAATAGAAATTTGATAAGAATTGCATTAAATGTTATAATAAGATACCGAGGAATATTTTAGATCTGCCTTTTAATAAGTTTAAAAATGTTTTTAAAAAACAGTTATTGAACAAAGCCTATTACACACTAAACGATTACTTGTATGACAAACGTGCATAGTTTTAGTCGATAATGCACAGGCTTTTAACGACTGTGTAATTTTAGACATAGTACATTTAAATAAATAGACAATATTAACAGAGATTTATTTATTTATATTTATTCAGATGCCACGTGGAACAAATTAGATATTATAATAAGTAAGCATATAAGACACGTGACACTTCGTAGGGTAGATTTTTTTTATGGGTGAAAATGGAATGGTAACCCCGCCTCCGCTAGCGGGATACGCTGGCGGAGCACCAGTGAAGGATGATTGATGAGATCGAAAGTAGGCCAGTTAGCCCATCATGATGAATTCATCAGGAATTGACCGTGATAGTTTCCAGGGGGAACCGCGAGGAGGTCGACCTGGTTGGGTATATTGCTAGTAATGGGATTTTCAGTCTCCATTACTAACAATCCCTTCCCCTCCCCCCGTAGGGTAGGTTAGGTTTAAAAAAGTAACTGACGAGGTTCTTTTTCATCAAACATTTATACATAGATTTTATTACGAAATCTGTTATTATCTATAAAAAGGTGCATTTTAGAAAGTCTCAATCAATTCAGGATTTGTGGTGATGATGATGATGATATCAGCCGTCCATTGCTGAACATACGCCTCCCTCTATTAAGGAGTTTTACCAGTAGTTGCTATGCTTGCTCGCGGGTTAGCAACCGCAATCAAGCTTTGATGATATTCTAAGAGGGACCTCGTTGCCCATCTCTCGACATTCAGTTTCTCGCGTCTAAGTCGCCGACACCCACGGGAAAGGAAGAGGTAGCCTATTCTACGAGTATGCCAAACGTCAAGGACTTGTGTAGATGGATAAATGATATTTTCAGATATATAATGTAATTTTTATGCTACATTTTTAATCCCTACTTGTAATTTTTAAAAGTCTTTGCGAGAATATTATTATCTAATAATATTATAATAATACTAAATAATTATATTAATTGAATATAGAAAGGTAATTTGAAATTATATCAACCTGGTATCTAATAATCTAATTATTAATGCCTAACAGGGTTATTACTATTCCGAAATCAGACAGATTACATTTGTTACTGGCTCAATGTTATCCATATATCTTTTTACTAACCAATTATTTGGTTGTAGTCACGACAGAGGGCTCTCTTGTATTCGCCACGAAATGTGAGCAATTTTCTGATACAGATCTAACACGAAAACGGGTATGTTTGACGTGCCGTTTATATTTCCATTTGTAAACGTACTGGGGCGGCATAGCTATGATTCTTTTTTATTTCAACTGTCATAGAAGGACTAATTGGAAAGATCACTCAAAGGCAATAGAGCTGTATGTATCAATTGGTTTTATAAAATGAATCTAGTCTATTACAATGAAACTACGAAAACATAAATAAACGAATAATTGGTCCAACCATAAGACGGTCTGCTGATGTTCAATAGAAGTACAAATCAAACATCGATTGATTGATTGATTGATTGATTGATTGTTTTGATTTGTTACTTAATTGTATTTACAGAGAGTTTATGTGATAATGTCAACTAAACTTGGGTAGTATTTTTTAATAAAATATTTCTATTGAAACAAACTATAATAAAAAAATGCGATTATGAATAATATATATGATGATTTTATAAAGGCAAATATAGTATACGACAACTTATTAATATATTTTAGAATGGATATTAATTATTCACTATTAAACATAGTTTAAAATAACGATTAGTATTTGTCGATTACGATACGTTAACGATTAGGTTTTGTCAACCGCAGTTAGGCTTTTGGTAATGTTTTAAGAGGGACATTAGTAGCCATTTCTCGATCATTAAATTCCCTAACTCGTCTCTTACGATACCCACATAAAAAGAAAGGATAGTACATTCTATATCCGGCCCGGGATCACACGCGATAGAATAGACTACTCCTTAAAGTTCAATACGATACTTTTGTAATAATATAATTGATCACAATGTGTTTGTTTTTCAGATGTCAAATGATCTGCAGAACATCGCGTTAGGTAAGTTAAATCTAGAAATTATAATATACATTTTAATTAATTATTTTTGATTAGAATTGAATGAAAATAAATAAAATAGATGTGGTTTGCTATGAGAGATTACAAAATGAATTAATAAAATCGGTTTAGAATTGACTATAAGGTCGTGTAATAATAAAATTCTATTATAAGGAGTCTTCTGTGCCCATCAATGAGATGATAATGGGTTGTTATAGCATTGTTTTGGCAGAGCTTGATGGTCTGACAACTTAACACACCTTCGGACAGTCATGGATTTGATCCCCATACAATGCAAACATATATTTTCATAAGTATGTGTGTTTGTATTAACCTGGACGTTTTATATGTACAATATGTATATATGTATTATATGTATTTATTTACAAAAAAGTTTAGCCGTGTGGTTCCAGCACAGAATGGACTAGCACTTCCTTTCCTGTGGGTGTCATAACAGGCGATTAAGAGAATTTAGTGATCGAGAGATGGGCAGCAGCGTTCCTCTTATACATCATCAAAAGCCTAACTGCGGTTGCAAGCCGCCTGCCATGCGTGGCAACTACTGGTAAAACCTCTTAATAGGAAGAGGCCTATGTTCAGGAATGGACAATTAACGGCTAATATGACGATGATTTACAAAAAAAAATGTAGTTTATCAGTTGTCTGGTATCAATTGCACAAGCTTTGCTTAGTTTGAGACTAGATGGCGCTATGTAATGTCTAGTGGTATTTATTTATTTGTGTAGATATGGAAATTGCAGTATCCACATTACCTGTAGATATACTATAGAAACGTCACAACTGGCTCAATATTTAATTACCTCCCTCTAACAGACGTGATTGCGTTTCCTGCAACTGACATGCTAGTATTATTTTGCCGGTTTGAAACGATATTAAATTCTTAGAAGTGAAATTGAAATTGGGGTATGTCGGTAGGTATTAGAACTATAAAATATTAATATTAAAAGCCAATTTTCGTTGATTGTAGATGTTCGAATCAAAATATAATTAATAGAAATGCTCGCGTTTGTTTGTCACAAACATTTCTCTGCAGAATATTAGAAATATAATATTTAAATATTAGAACGTGCAGTTCTAAATTTAAATTTAGTTTCCAATTTAATTATTTGAAATATATTGTGTTTATGAATTATTTCAATTTATATTATTATTTATATATATATCTATATCATATAATACATTTCTATTTTATCTGGTTTTATGTTTGTGTTAATAAACTAAGATATACAAATTAAATTATTTACTATTGTAAAGATATTAATCTATATTATATTTTATCGTAGGTACTTAGATGCTAAACTGAGTAGATAATAACTCTTCACTCTTTATTTCTTCGCGAAAACTCATCAGTTTTAATTATCCTTTTTTACACGCAGCATTTTAAAAATGAAATTAAGAAGCGCCATGGTGCCGTAAAATAATTTTATGTTGTAATAAAAAAATGAAATTAAAAATAATTAAATCAGTTTTTCAAACTACATCAGCATAATGACTTTTGTATAACTTTATAATTTGATTGTTCGACCATGTTTCTCATAGAATAAAGGTTAATGCCTTTGCTTATTAAGAAGTCGCGAAGTTTTAGATTATTGAAGTTTATTTATGCCTTGTACTTTTTTTTTTCAAAAAAATACATTAATATCTGTTTATCAAATGCTATTTATCTCTTGCGAGATAAATAGGAACTGAAGGCTTGTTATTAATCTATATACAATTCTTGCTACATTCATTACCCTTGTTATTTCATAGGTACACGCCAGTTCTGAAAACTCTGATTTCCTTCTCTGATAGAATATATTCTAACAAATTCGCATAACATGTATATTTTTTGAATTGGGAAACTCATTCTTTCCGAAGTTGCTTAAAAATAATAAAAAATAAATTAAACACTGAACTACGATAATTCAGTAAAATGTCGGTAATTTCATTTAAGTAGAACATAACAATGTAAGCCGCGTTTATGTACATAGCGACATTAACTTTGAATAACTTTAAGTAGTACATTACAAATGCAACTTCAATAATACCACGTCTCCAACTTTCCGGCACTACGTCACGGCGAGTTTACTCTGGATTATCAGGAAAATCGTTATGTGGAACTCTTATACCGAATCTCAGGTACATCGATCGAGTTCTCGCCACTCGAATAACTTTGATTCGATGACTGAATTCAAATATTTTCCCTAAGTGCAGATCCACTCGTAGTCCTTTGGTGCAAAGGCAACTCGATGCGGGAAATCTTTTGCGATTTTCGATAAACAGCGCGATTTTACTGCTTTCATGTCTTTTGGTTCCATTTTTTCCACAATGTGAACATGAACATAATTTTGCTTTTAAGCTAGCTCATGTGAAATGTATGGTATTATTAATTACTAGCTTTTTTCCACGATTTCGTCTGCGTAACTGAGATATAGATTATTCCGGGAAAAAAATGCATACCAGTTTTTATGATAATCAAATAATAAATCGTCAAAGCGCTATAGGATGGCAAACTTATTTTATCGGGAGTTTATTAGGCACGCAAAAATACAGAAAAAATATTATAATTTCTATTTTATATTTATATTTTACTAATAACACTAGGTACAATGAACATTCAGAATTTATTAGAATAGACATCTAATCTTATAATGGCATACAAATTTAATCAATATAATATTTAAAACATAATCAAATATATCAATATTTGATTATATTATTATATAACTATCAAGTTGTAAAACAGTTTCTGATGAAAAAAAAAACTGTGTTAATAAGGTTATAATTTATTAAAAAGTATAACGCCATATATAATACTATTAAGTGTAGACTATGTACCTATATATATAATAATCACCTACCAAAAAAGTGTCAATAACAACTCTACTTATGAACTATATTTTTTGGAATAATCGAGAATACGGAAGTATCTGTAAAATTACTTACAACATAATTATATCAAATTATCGCCATGTATTACGCAGCAATTTCAGATAATTACCTTTCTTTTATTAGCGTTCAAACAATTTTGTCTGTGTTAACAATCATTTAGGAGTTCAATTATACCAATGGAATTATAGTGGATTATATCTAAAATGATGGTAAGTTAATTTAAAATTCATAACGAAATAATAATTATGATGAAATATTTTTATCCATAACTAGATATATAACTGCGGAAATAATAGAGAACAAGGGTTTTCTTAGGATATGCGCTATATAGAATATTTTGTCTCTAGAGTATGGGGTTCTTTAGAGTCGGCAACACCCGCATGGTAATCCTAGTGTTGCATGTGTCTAGTTGACAGGGTAACCATTTAACTTTTAATTTGTTTGTCACTTTTATGGTATAAAAATATATATTCAGGAATAAAATGTCTAAAATTAATTAAACAAATTTCTAATAAAACAAACTCCTGTATAGTAATGATGCATTCTAACTTAAGAATTTAAGAACGAATATTATTTTCTTGCATATAATATTGCACCTTAAGTATATATATATAATTGAATTTACTTTCAAACCCACTTTAATCAATATTTTTTTTTTATATTATTAAATGTTACAACGATCTACTAGGAAATATGGCATGTGACTTGCAAAAATAGATGCCCTAATATTATTACCCTCGTAACATATATTAAGTAAGACTAAAGAAGGTTTAATTTGAAATTTCTATTTTAATAAAATAGAATACAGCACACTAGAATTTCTTATGAACACTCAGTAGAATTAATGTTATTAGGATGCGAATTATATTTAGGTAGCGAGCAGGCGGTGTCGCGCGGTTCCTCGTAAACTAATTGCATTTAGAGCGATAGAGCTCTCCGAGAGTCAGCAAGCGATGCTAATGGACGGTATTAATTAATAGCGTCCCATCAAATTTCAAGTTAAGTTAGAATATCTATTTCGAGAGCATCGAGTCTAATGAATCATACGATTTTGTTTTAAGAATTTAGGATTTATTTATCCATTCGTTTAGAGCCGAGTTAAAAGAATCTCTAATTTCGAGTTCATCACATAAATAGGATAAACTATTTGAATGTTTTAGTTTGTATCGCTCTAAACGCGCCTTAGAATTTGTAGATAATGTTATTAATATTATTATAAATTTTAAAGTTAATTTCTTTGTTAATTTATTACCTCTTGTGTCCTTAAAGTCTTAACTAATGTCATGAAGTTTGGCATACATATAATATTTGAAATGAAGAAAAATACAGACGACTTTTTATCGCGATAAATCAATATAATTGTTCCGATTACGTGGACAAAATCACGGGTAATAACTAAAAGGATCACATACAGCAATAAAATATGGTAGTTTAACGTTATATTGTTAACACTCGTCCATCGTCTAGGTCGCAACATACAGCCCATTATGTCCTTTATTGTGTGAAAATTCTTTGAACTATTAAAAATATATATTTCAAAAAGTATTATATTATACACCAATATAATTATATAGTTTATTTTCTATTAATATTATTGTATTCATAAATGTCTTGCAATAGAGATCATTATAGTAGTATCCTGATATATATATATATATATATATATATATATATATATATATATATATATATATATCATTATCCCTTAACAGAGTTTTTGTAAGTTATAATATTATAGAAATCAATTATATTATGGATATATATAATATGGAAATAATATTATATTTTGAATTTGCATAATATTGAATGGTTGCATAAGGTATACTTTACAATGTTTTGACATAAAATGCGAATGAAAACAGAATTTAGCGATTACGACTCAATGGCTCAGGACTATGGACAAATAATGTAGTGGCTGTAACCATTGTACATAAGCGAGAGTCTATCTTTTATTCGTATTGTGCAACATAATTTTATTTAAAATTTAGAGATTTCTACATGAAATAAAATACAGTAAAATAAATATGCTCGCGGCTTTAATTCCTGATGGATTTATGTGCAGATTCTTAAACGTACAGTAGTTATAAATAGATTAAAACTTTATGTTGTGT